TCTCTTTCTAGAATGTCCTTCTGAACATTTTGGAATGCTGGCTAGGTGTTCATGAATTTCTTCAGGTGTTCTTGGCCATGGAAGTATCTTATTTCCATATCAGTTTTGAAAGATAGCTTGTGGGGTACATCAGTCTTGGTTGGTTGTTTCCTTTAGAGCTTGAAATACTTCACTCCAAGCTCTCCTTGACTTCAGGGTTTATGTTGAGAGTTATGCTGTAATTCTGATGGGCTTCCCTTGATATGTGATTTGTTTCTTTTTTCTAACAGCTTTTAACATTCTGTTCTTGAGTAGAATTTTTGGAATCTTGACTATTATATACCTTGGTGTAGATTTTTTTTAACACCATGGTTAATTGGAGTTCTATATGCCTCACTTATCTGTAGGTCAAATTCTTTTTCCATGCATGGGAGGTTTTCTGCCATCACCTCTGTGTACAGATTTTTATTAATGTCATTTGTACTATCTCTTGCTCTTTCATTGGCTCCAGTCAATCTTATGCTATTCTTCTTTGCATCATCCAGCAGCTGTTGGATTGATTTTTCATGGTCCTTTATTGTTATTATTATTGGTTTTTTGAGACAGGCTCTCACTATGTAGTTGAGACTGACCTGGAACTCACTATGTAGCCCAGGCTGGTCTCAAACTCATAGTGCTCCTTCTGCCTCAGCCTCCCGAGTGCTGAGATTACAGGCAGGTGCTATCATGCCTGGCAGTCCTTTATTATTTTTAAGAAATTCTTCTTTTCGTGATCTCTAACTGCAATCCTGTCTTCTTTATACTATTCTGTCCTCATATTGGCTCAGTCTGCTGCATATACTTTCAGTGCAAGTTTTAACCTCCTGGATATCTTTTTGAATTTCTTTTATGGATTCCATGTCCTTCCTATGTTGATCATTCATGGCTACCATCAATTTTCTAAGCTCCTCTATTTTAAAAAATCTGTATTTGCTCTAGAGTCACTAACCAAGTTCTTTGTTCTGGTCACCATCTCTGTAGTTGTCTGAGAAAGTATTTCTGATTTGATTTTTTTCTGTAGCCTCATTCATCTGCTTTCTTGCTTCCACTGTTACCACTTCAGAAAGTCCAAGTGAGTGGCTTTCAGATCATTCCACCTCATTGTCCCCTTGGTTTGCCTTTGGTGAGCTAGAAGTCTGGGTTTGGATTTTGCTTAAGTGTTTTCTCATTCTCCAATTCTTTGACTTTAATTCCTGGGTTGATGCTTATAAATTGTTTATGGCAAGTAGCTTCTTTGCTAGTGTTTCGACTCTATAGGGAATGACTACTTCTCCAAGATGTCTTCCAGGTGTAACTGGCTTTCGAGTTTTGAGTCTGTTGCAAGATCCTACCTCTTCACTTTATTGGGGATGAGAAGTAGTTGCCTTTTGGCCTAACCCATGGTTCTTTGGCCCTTGCCTATAGTATTATTTATGGCCTATAGGCAATTTCAGTCTTGGTATACCAGAAAAACAACTGATTAAAACAATTCTGTCACCTTGGCTAAATAACAATAGCATCAAGTACGCCTAGGAAATGATAAATCTGTGGTAAGTCTTAATTTGCCACTTTCAACAGCATGAACTGTATTTGTGGTTACACAACAAAATCTAAAACAGACTAGAAAAACTTCTACAGTAAGTATGCTCTCAATATGGCAATTTTACCCACAAGGGAGAAAATTTTAAAAAGGTTTAATAGAAAAATAGAACAAGAGAAAGAGATTAGAAACAAAACTGGAGGACAAAGGACAATTATTGGAACTTTGGGAAACTGGTGAAGAAGCTAGGAGGGAAAAGAAAAGGAAGAAATATAAACAAAAGCAGAACAGGATAAGAACAAAAACAGGTAGAAACAATGTTCATGCTCATATAAAAACAAGAAAAAGAGAAAAGAGAACAAAAACAAAAAATGAGAAATAAATAGAAAAGAAAAAAAAAATCCACTTCAGGGTGTGTCTCCTATCGCTGTAGACAGAGTAGGTAGACAGGGCCCAGATCCATGGTGATTAATCCCAGTGATCCAGCTTTTAATTTACAGTGGGTTAGTGGGTAATCCCAGCAAGACTGCACCTTTAGTTCTATTGAAGTTCAGGTTGGTTTCTGGTTTTGAGGCTGGAACCTGATTTGTTTGGCCTGCAACTCTCCAAATGAGTCTTGCTGGCTTGAACTCAGCTCCTTGACCTCATACTGACTTGAGCTCAGTTCCACCTCACCCTGACCCTGGGACCTGCCAGATGGAGCCAGCGCATAGCTGCTCTGCATTTCAAGCTCAGTTGGCCCCTCTCCAAGATGGCTACTGGCCAGTTGCCCTCTCCTTGGGGATGTCTGAACCCAAATAACTCAACAGCCACTGCAGTGCACTGTGTCCATCGCTCAGTTTCGCCGGTGTGTTTTTCTCCGTGGAGGTCTCTGGGGTTTCCAGTGTCACTGTGCGTCTGCAGGTTCAGGCCGCCCTTCCCAGGCTGAGTCAGAGTTCAGAGAGAAAGCACCATCTCCTTCCTCTGTGTTGAGGTCTCTCTCTTTCCTCTCCCTGTGGGTTTCAGTTCTTGCTTCTGATCCTTGCCTGGATCTGCCTCCCTCCTTTTCTTCCTCATGTTGCTGTATTCTAGGGTCTGTTCACCACATCTCAGAGAAACTGTATCTCTGCTGTTTAGCATTCTACCATCTTCCCCAAAGTCTTCCTTTCCTTTGCTTCTTGTATCCTCCTTCACTCTGTAAAACATGCCAGCTCTTTGTACAGCCAATTACATGTACAATCCAATGGTCTTTTTCTTCTGGGGTGACATTTCCACAGTGACCTGTGAGATGTGATACTTGGATAGAAGCTGTGCTATAGCTAACATACCTGAGTTTGAGTCCTAGCTCCTCAATCAATCTTATTTTGTTATTTATTTATCTATTTATTTTGAGACAGGTCTGCACTGTGTAATCCAGGCTGGCCTTGAACTCACTGTGTAGCTGGGCTGGCCTCAAACTCCCAGAGATCCTCCTGCCTCAGCTTCCCAAGTGCAGGGATGACAGGTGCATGCCCCCACACCCGGCCCCAGCTTGTCATTTGCAAGCTGCAATAGTCTTTTATCTCAGCACATCTTAGGAAAAATGAATAACATAAAAACATCCAATCCCAAGTGAAGTCTCATTCAGAGGATGAAGAGTCCACTCAACGATGAAGCCCTCTGTGAACTGTAAAGCGTCCTGCGGATGGAAGGGTTCGGTCTCTGTGAGGCCAAGGACCGCCTTGTGCGGTTTTTCATTCCCAGTCAGCCCTGAGAGCAGTGTCACCTTTGAGGCTGGGTGTGTGTGTGCTGAATGAATGCAGGAGTAGGTGGCTGCCTGGGGACAGCTTGGAATGTGCCTGGTAATTAAGGTTCCAAAGGGCAAGGCTGGGACAGAGCTGGAGAAGCAGCTGGTGCTTCTGAGGATGTGGGGGCCCAGCTCTGCCAGGAAGGCAGCCAGCCTCTGCCAGCTGGTCTCTGGACAGCCCAGCTCTGCAGGTGCCAGCCGCCAGGCCTGGGCCATCTCGGGCTGGTGACACTGCCCAGGGCTCTTGCATCACTGCTCCAGTGACCCGCCTGGAATGTCCACTCTCTCATGGCTGCTTTAGCACCTTCGTCCCTGGTGACGGTAAACATCACGGTGCAGAGCCGGTGCTGAGCCTCCCTGGGTCTTGACGGGTGCCGAGGACCTGTCTCCCATGGCTCAACAGATACAAACACAAACAGTGCACGTACACACAAGCTAGGAAGTCCAGGGCCGGACCTATTTTTCCCGACCTATTTTTGTTTGTTTGTGACTTGTCACAAACTTGGGAAATTATGATTGCTTTACATGATTGCTATAAGCCTGGTAGCATGGATTTAATAATATTATTGTTCCAATGGTGATAAGCACAACTATGATCCTATCAGTGCTTTGTACATGTCCATAGGTACTATGCTAAGCACTTAAAAAGACATGGTCTTAATTAGGCTTATAAAGTTAGTATGAACCCCATAGATTGTATCCGCACCCAATCCAGGAAGTGAGTGTTACTTCTGTGTCCACTTTACAGATAAGCATCTGAAGTTCAGTCACTTCCTGGGGTCATGGAGTTTGCAGATAAAAGACCCAGAAGTCAAATTATCCATCCATCCATCCATCATCTGTCTGTCCATCTGTCCGCCCACCCATCCTTCCATCCGTCTTTCCATCCATCCAGTATCGATAAGGTGGCCATTATAAGCCAGATCTATGGTCTTATTTGAAAGAATACGATTTAGATCTGTTCTTTCAGGTATAGCAATACAGGGCTTTTGAGCACTTGAAACATGGCTGCGTGACTTGAGAGCTAAAGATCTTGTGTGATAAACTTAAATTTAAATTCAAATTAAAAACCAGAAGTCATGTAAAACATGTTTCTGTTAAATACAACTTTATTGTTTTGGTAGGGTTCCATTTCAGTGTAACCCTTGAAAATTTAGCTCTGAATTGAATTTGTGCAAAATAGACAAAGGATTTGAAAGACTTAGCTCACAAAAAGAATGTAAGTTATCTCATCTCTGAATTGTTTATTTGATTGCTCATTGAACTGATTCTGCTTTGACATATCTGGCACTAAATATGTTATTAACATTAATGTCTCCTGTTTCTCTGTACTTGTTTTCAATGCAGCTGTAGGAAAGTTAAAATTGTGTTTGTGGCTCATATCAGGTTTCTACTGGAGAGCGCTGTCCCAGACCTGGCCACTGTGGAGCTCCGGGTGTCGGGGAGCTGGACACAATGCCGTCATTGTCACGCATGAGGTAAGCGCTATAATAGACCGGCAGCTGAATGCTCTGGGGACAGTGACCCAAGCCTCCAGTTCTGTACCACGCAGGGCCAGAGATGAGGTGACGGCTTTGGCCAGGTCTCCGAGATGAGTTGGGGTGTGTCCTGGAGTGGACAGGCAGGAGGTGTCCTGGGCACTGGCACAACACGTGCCAGGCCAGGTGGCAGGAGGCACTGAGAAGTGTCCCTGACCACAGGGGCTGGAGAAACAAGTGGCATAGTTGTGACTGAGGAGAGTCCTGCTGGGGTCGGCCAGGTGGGGAGCGACAAAGGAGCCAGGTGGGGTCCCTGTGTGCCAGGAACTGTACCCAGGGTCTGCCCATGTGGGCCCTCGGCTTGATCCATGCATTTCTGGTGAGTGCCTACTGTGCCAGGCGTGGTTCTGGGTGTGGTTCCGGAGCCGGACAGGAGGGGACAAAACAGATGATCCTTGCTGTCATAGAGCTGGCACACAGGTGACAATACCCAGGCCAAGGAGGGGAGAGCACAGAGCAAGGTCAGAGGGGCTGGTGACGGGCGATGGGAACTGAGGACTAGCGGATGCTGCCGCTGCCCCAGATGGCACACTAAGAAGGACATCGGGAGACCCAGAGTCCTGAGGAGGGGCCCAGGGCAGATGTGTGCTTCAGGGTGAGCCTGGTGGTCCCCCGGGGGAGAGGGCGCTGGGGAGGCGGAAGCCCTGTTCTGGCAGCCGCTGCCCCTGTGCAGAGAGCTCACTGCTCCTGCCACCTGCCCGGGGCCTTCCCTGCCACCCAGGCCCTAGACCGCTGCCTCCCTCAGGGCCTTCACAGAGAGCCTCTCCCTCGCTGTGCTGGTTCTCCACTCCCCTCACCCGCTGCACCCTTCCTGCGGCCGGACCAGCCCTGTGCTGGAGGCTTCCACGCAGGTTGAGCGGCACCCTTCGTGTGACCCCCATGTCCTCACGGGACGTGCGTCCTCTCCGACTCTGGGAGGCCCCTCTTTTCCGGGTCTTTTCTCTGGATCCGGAAAGTGTCACTTCCATCGGTGGGAACCTGTCCCATTTCAGTTCCTGTTTCTGGACAGCAGAACCTCCTGGTGGCCCTGCTCTTTGCTTCCTCAGTCCCCAAAGGCAGCAGGGGCACCAGCCTCACAGGGCCCGCTCCAGAGACAGAGGGGCCTCCTGTCCCACAGTTGTCCCTGCTCCGTGGCAGGCACCAAGATGCTGTCCTTCCTCTGCCTCCATCGTCACCGGGGCCGGAAGCCCTGGCGAGAGCACCGGATCCCCAATGCTTTCCCAATTCCGCGCATGCAGGCTAAGGGTCCCTCATCCACAAGGCTGCCGATTTCGGACGTTTCCAGATTTTGGAATATCTGCATTCATACTGAAGAGATGTCCCAGGGAGGGGACCTGAGTCTCAGCACAGAACTCACTTCTGCTGCAGATGGGCCTTACGCCAAGGCTGAGGTCTCGCAGTGGGGATTCCCAGGTGGGGAGTCAAGTGGGGGCCCTCAGAGTTCCAGGTTTCGGACATTGTGGGTTCTGGTTTCCTGTACTTCTGTGTCCTGATGTCACCTGACAACCCCACAAGCAGACCTGTGTATCTCCTATGCACAGAATGTCACCTTAGCGGGAAGGTGGTGGAGAACAGGACGAGCCAACGTCCCCGGGCCGCCACACCGCTCTTGCTGCTCTCCGTGGGCTCTGTTGTTGCGTGAACTCATTCAGCCCCATGTCAGCCCCCTGTCACCGCCACACAAGCCTGGGTGACCAGTGGATAAAGAGCAAAGGTTTACTTGGCTCAGGGTTTTGGAGAGTTGAGTCCATGACCGACCAGCCCTTTGCTTTCCATTTGTGGTGAAGCAGCGTATCATGGTGGGGTGGAGGGAGGTGCAGAGCTGCCCCCTTCTCGGCCAGGACTTGGGAGTGGAGGAGTCGGGGTCCCACAGTTTCCTTCAGTGACCCCAGTGACCAGCAGACATCCCCTAGGCCCCATCCTGTCCCTGTAGCACTGCACCAGGGACTAAGTTTTTGGGGACACTGAAGATCCAACCTTTAGCCATCCTCAATGACAACTTCTTGGGGTGAGGATTATCAATAAAGTTGAAAAAAACTGAGAAACCAGTGGCCCATGATCAGGCCTGTGGAACGGCGTGGGGCCAGGATTTGAGCCTGGTGGTTTTGATAATGGCACCTGTGTTCTAAGTCACTGTTCTTATGGCCTCTGGCCACCCAGCACCGCTTTCCTCACTGATTTGGGAGCAAACTTTAGTTTTTATCGATTGCATATGCAATAGCCCAGGTCCTCCCAAGTGTGGGGGCTACAAGCTGTGCTTCCACTCACTGAGGGGCAGCTCAGGATGAGACCTTGCTTGCTTCCCCAGCCCATCCTCAGCCCCAGGGCCAGGTGTGTGGTAAATAATATTGCTGAACCAGGGACCGAGTCTCTTCCTGCTGCCCTGGAGTTGGACGCTCCTGTTTGATCAGGTGGCCTCGAATTCACTAGGTTGCCCACACCAGCCTCAAACACATAGTGGTCCTCCTGCCTCAGCCTCCCGAGTGCTGGGCTTATGGGTACGCGCCATCATGCCTGGTCCCATGTAGTTTTAGTCTTACGCTTTGCGTTGTATGTGACGACACACACTTGTGTAAACAGCACGCATTAGAGCAGCACCAGCTGTATAAACCGTCTACCTTCATGGACGCTCTATTTCTCCCTCATGAGCCCATCTGATGTCCTCATCGAAGAGTGGCGTCATTTCCTCTGTGGCCTCACCATCCTGGGGCCGTGGAGTCCCGTCTCCCATTTCCTCTTGGAACCGTCCCCCTGCACTGGACTCTGATCCACTGTCCATGGTCCCCTGGTCTGAGGGAGGCTGCCGTGTGCCAGCTCCCTCTGCATGGAGGTGCGGATTTCTGGGGACACTTAGCCTCCTCCGCTTGGGCATGAGCTAGGGGGCATTTAGCACACATTTTCCATCAGACAACTCACCCTAAGGAGCAAGTCAGTCTCAGACCACTTTCCAAAACTCACCTCGCCAGGGCAAAGGACAGCAGCGTGAACCAAGGCACAGGTGTGAATTAATTTGAGCGGTGGGGTCAAGCAGCGTGGGAGAGAGGGCAGAGCAGAGCCTTAGGTGCAGGGTCACAGGTTCAAATCCTGGCAAAGGCTGTTTCTTTTCCGGCAGGCAATGTGTCCTTTTTGAGACTCAGTGTTCCTGCCAGTGAAATGAGTTTTATGCAGATTAGAGATGGTGTGTGTGTGTGTGTGTGTGTGTGTGTGTGTGTAAAGTATATACAATGGTACCTCGGTTGTTGGACTCAGTTCCTTCCAAATTCGTTTTGGAACATTGAAAAGTTAGAGAACTGAACATATTTTTCCCATAAGAAATCATGGAGCACCACATAATTGGTTCTGAGGCCCAAAAGTTACACCTATAAATTCAGTTTTCCAGGACTTTAACAGGTTTTGCAATGATTTCTTTCTTTAACTCTAAAGGGGTTTTCAGCTTTACTGCCGGTATCGCTAATTTTCCTTGAAGCTGGGTTGTGGTACCTTACACAAACAAAGGGCACGCGCATGAAGTGCCAAGGAACCAACACCTTAAGGCACCTACTCAGGCGCTGTGTGCACCCAGGTGAGAGCGGCGCTCACCCTGTAGCGTCTCCACGCTGTGTCCACGCAGAAGCCGACGTGCTCGGCCCCTCAGGGTTTCTCAAGTCGGATTTCCGGTTCAGCGACAGAGCGAAGTTACAACACCGAGCAGACTTTTTTTGAGCTTTGCTGTTCAAGGACGGGAAAGTTCGAGTTTAGAGCCATTGGACAAGCAAGGTGTCACTGCGTATGACAAATGAGAGATAAATAACTGGTGTTACAATGCTTTCTGCGCAAACAAGTCTCCAGAAATCAAACAGCACATAAAGGACACGTGATGATCCTCACGTAAACACGAGGCGTAGGGCAGTGCGGAGGTTTCTAGACGCGGAGCTTATGTCTGTAATCAACCCCAAACTGGGAATCCGAGCCTAACCAAGCAGCCCAGGATTCTGGTAGGCGCCGTGGAGGACGAAAACAGAGCGTGACATTAAGAACTCTGTAGGCTGGAGCGTGTGAGTTCCCGTAGGCCTCACCTCAGCCCCTGGAACACACGGTTACCACTTCCGATGCCACGCGTGTCATTACGCGGCCACCGCGCACGGTTCCAGCTGTGGCCCCGTCTGTGGTTCAGGGGGTGCATCCTGAGGAGGCCGCATCCAAGTGCCGCTCGCCCTTCCCGGTGAAGGACAGGGAGGCCGGCACACAGGGAAGGGGAAACCTGGGGCCTTGGCACGGGGCAGCTGGCACCACTGTGGACGAGCTGGGTGACCTCGGGCCAGTACTAAACCTGCCCTACAAGTTTCCCGTCCGCTCCCTGCAGAGGGGCTCTGTCTGGCAGGGCAGACTCGGAAGATGTCGCTGCATTCGGGAGCAACGCTAGCAGCAAGTGAGCGGCGCCCTCGGCTGCTCCATCGCGGCGGCAGCTTGCCCAGTGTGGGAGGAGCACGTCTCACCTCTGCTGCAGGCCGATGGGGCCGCAGGGCGGGCGAGGGGCCGGGGACACGTGCGCACGGCTTCATGACCACTCCGGACACAAGCGGATCTGCAAACTCACATTTTAAGAAGGGGGCACGGAAGGTCCGAGGGCGGAGGCCATCTGATCAGGCCCACAGCCAGTACCGGAGCAGGACTCCAGCCGCACACCGAGCCCCGGGACCTGCGGGGACAGCGTCTGCCGACCACGACGGTGCCACAGGCCTTTGCAATGCTGCAGTGTCACTGTTGACCCTGCAAGTGTGGGGTAAACAGGGCCCGTTTGTCTCCTGGGACTGCGCCCAGGGAAGGCAGGCGGGCTGAGAGGTTTCTGTCCAGCGTCTCCAGGGTCTGGCATGGGAAAGAGCTGGCGATCAGGCCAGGTGCGAGTGTGCATGCAGGAAGTGAAAACTGCGGTGTCAGACTCGGTGACACCAGTGACGCCGAGGGGCGGACAAGTGAGGGCCGCTGGGAGAGAAGGGGAGCGAAGGGCTCGGAAGCCTCGGGGACGCCCAGCACCTTCGCGCTCCGTGTGCTCACACACCAGACGGCTTCCCACCGCTTCACCGCTTCACTGCTCCTGCCGGCGGACCGCAGCCTAGCGAGACCCTCTGGGAAGAGAGAAAAGAGAGGGGTGCATAGGCCCTGGGTTCAATCCCCAGGAAGAAAAAAGAAAGAAAAAGAAAAAAGAACTATTCCGAGAACCATTCATTCCCCAACCCTCTTTTCTCTTAGTTTCTAGGTCCGGGATGGGCTCGGCAGTCAGCAAGGCCAGGAAAGCTCTCAGCCCAAAGGGTCCGAAAGGCCTGCTGGGCGCCCTGCTTAGCAGCTTGGGCCCTGCTCACCCCACGGCCCTCTTTGTTCCCCTCTGATAGCGGCCTTGCTCTGCTCCCCAGGCGCCGTCTCCCCTCGGACTCGAGCCAGGGAGGTCGCTGGTCACCGGGGCCCACGC